ATCACGGCAACAGTGTCACTCCAAAGGAGAACCTGTGCCAGAAGGGCAAAGCCTGCTCACAAGCGTTCAGGCCCAGATCCTCCAAGGTTGCAGGTGCCTAACGCCCGTTGATTTCTCTGGGCATTAGGTGGCTAAGCACCTTGGAGGATCTGTGCTTATCGCCCTCCCGGTGCAGGGCGCTGCATGTGTAATGGGACAGGAGAACTTGAGCCTGCCTTTTTGGAAGAGCTGCTCTGTAGCTGCCGAGTCCTTCCTACCCAGCTGCAGTAGCAAGTTGTATACTTAGCCCCGTGCTCCCCTTTTACCGGAGCGCTGTACAAACGCGACGTGTAGGCAGCGTTGGTGTAGCCACGCGGGTCCCAGGATATCAGCGAGACAAGGCAGGTGAGGTCATATCTTTTATCCGCTCAGCTTCTGTTGGTGAGAGACAAAAGTTTTGGACTACCCAGAGCTCTTCTTCATCAGATATTCTGGGGGGACTGTGCCTCGCTCTCTCACCCACAGAAGTTGGTCCAATAAAAGACAATTGACCGGTCCCTTAGAATCTGTGCTAACTGCTTATGCTAAACTATCGGTTTGCTCTTGTTGTTTGCGGTGACACTCTCAGCACCTTGCCCAGGCCCGAGGAAGAGCTTGGTGCAGCTGGAACGCTCGTCTCTCTCTCTCACCAGCAGACGTTGGTCCAGGAAAAGACATCACCTCGCCCAGCTGTATGTGTATTAGGAGACAGTCAAGGCAAAAAGCGCCACCTACTGGCACATAAGCTATTCATTTAGGATCAGTACTACGTATACTTCAATAAGGGTGATGTTCTTCACCGGAAATGAGCGCTGATTCCAGCTCTCCCCAGTCTCTGCCTCATTAACATGATGTGGAATGAGTGTGTTCTCATACGTGACTATCTGCCCACACCCTGCTCCTTTTATACCCTGTGAACAGAGGTCATGCGCAGGAGTGCTGGAACTAGGGGTGCTGGGGGGGGGTGACAACACCCCCTGGCTTGAAGTGGTTTCCATCACATATGGGGTTTACAGTTTTGTTCAATGGCTTTCAGCCCCCCCACTCTACAAATTGTTCCGATATCACTGGTGACGTATGGCGGGGGGGGGGGTGGCACACGGGGTCACATGCCCCCCAGATTTGCTGCTTGGTTTGTACTGAGCATGCTCAGTAACATCTGCTGAAGCCGCTGCCCTCACTCTGTGCCCCCCCACACTGTCAGCAGGTCCCAGTCATTTCTGCTTGTGAATAAGGGTGAGGGCATGCCAAGGCCTGGCGAGTTCCTGCTGTTCAGTGCATGGGACTCTGCTCAACCTCTAACTCTTCTTCTCCCCTCCCCCTCTTGGATGCCAGAGCAAAACCTGATACAGCTCAGTGGAGTCAAGGCCTTTGTGAAAAAGGCAGCAGCCCGGGCCAGTGCTTCGGGAGAGGGTCGGGGTGCACAGGGCGGAGAACCCAAAAGGAGGAGAAAGCACAGATGTCAGGAGAAGGTGTGAAAACTCCTCCCTCTGGTTTCACTTTTGAGCAGCCTCATCCTCTAGGTAAGGGCAGCAGCAGAGGCAAAGAGCAGGTAAAGGTACAGGAAACCAGCTGATGTCTCCTACCAACCTGTCTACTGCCCGCAACAGAAACACCCACAGTGTGGGAGAAGCAGGGATAGCCTGTGAATTGACTCCAGGGCAGGAACTTTTACAGGCAGGCAGACAGAGACTATGCAGATGAGATTCTCCACTCTGGGGAACTTGCAATCGAAGGAATATCCTTGATTTTTGCCCAGGAGCCGTGCGGAAAGTTCCCAACCCCATTCTCCAGTTGGAGCACCAGAGCGGGGCAAGACCCCAACCCCGCTGCCTGGTGGGAGCTCAAGGGATGGATTAAAAGTTCTGATGGGCTGGACACGGCCTGCGGGCTGTAGTTTGCCCACCCCTGTTTTAGACAATCAGCTGGATATGCAGCAAGATCTCTGCACACTTGCAGTGTGTTCATTTTCATTTGCCTCTGTGTTACTTTTAAAGGTTGGCAGATCATAGTTTCTGTGAGACCTTGGAAGCCAAAAAATCCTGCCACACCAGTAGATCCACGATGATGGTTACGGGCACCTCTGTCCGAGAGCATTTAGAAAGCGTCTTGTTTACAAAATCCTCTTTAAATGTTATGGAACCAGATCCTCGTCAGTTATGACTCCATGGAGGCTCTGACCCAAACTACAGTCAATGTACGTAGCTTTGGCCTTAGCCTGGGGATGTCAACGGGATATAATGTAGCTTGGTGCTCAGCTCCCTTGGCTTTCACTGAGAGTTGTGCCTAAAACTCACACTGGACTTTTTAGAAATCCTACATTTTATTCAAATATGCTGCTTTTTAAAATAATGGCATAATTAATTTCCTAGTGGAAAGAAGAAAGACCAAAAATAAAAGAATTTTTTTTTCTAGTTAGTTGTTTTCATCAACATTGCTCAACTTCTGATTTCTTGCCAAACTCTCCCTCTTCAGATAGGCTGATACAGATTCTGGTTCAGTTAAGACTAAAAAAGCCCTGGCAGCAGCAGGAATTTACCCTTTGACTTTACTTCCCCCTTTCACGGTGACTCATAAACTTCACTTTCCCACAGCAAACAGCAGTAGTCTTTGCTGAGCAGGATCTGGCTTTTGCTAATGGCAAAAATAAGAATAACGCACTGTCTTGTCCATAACCGAAGTTGGCTATTTCCAATCTTGTGGCATTTGAGGCATTTTAAGAAGCCCTTAAGTGGAAGTATTTGGTGTGGTAAGAAGTCTATGCAGTGTTGCACAGTAATGGCCTAAACCATCAGCAGTAATTCCGCTGTAAGCTGTAGTGTTTAGGGCAACCACTGTATATTCTGTATACAGCTTAGTCATTCAGTGTGGTGTCTCTCAACCTCCAACTGTCATAAGGGGGGACTAGACAACAGGGGATAGATCACTTGAAATTGCCCTGTACTGTTCATTCCCTCTGAAGCATCTGGCACTGGTCAAAGACAGGACACTGGGCTAGATGAACCATTGATCTGACCCAGCATGGTCATTCTTATCTATATTGTAAGGCACATGTACAGTCTTGGTGTAAATGTGTGAAAAACTTAATGACTTCAGCCAGGCTTGAATTTGGTCTCCACCCAGCATATGTGGTGTTGGTGATGGGTAATTAGTCACCCAATTCTTCTTCTGGAAGGACTGCCTCTGCAGATTTGCCCTGGGTGGATCTGCAGAGGTGATATACCCAATGAACAACAGTTACCACTGAATAACCCATCATTCGCATTCATGAAACTGATGTGGCTAAAGACCTACCCCACATAAGGGGCCCAAGCCCCTTATGCAATTTGATAGCTGCCTTTTCTTTTGGGAGTTCAGTCTTGAAAATGGCTGATGCCATGTCTTAGTTAATAATGAATTGATGCAGGTGTAAGCAGAGTCAGGATGAGCTTCACCCTGACACCTGCTGGTGAGGTGTGGCAAGTTGTAGAAAAGAACTTCAGGGGCTGATCTCATTTGCATAGGCACAGCCACCCTGCCTAGAATGAGGCCATAGCTGCCCAAATGGTCACTTTGGCTGCTGTGGGATCCCCAGTGTCTCTGTTATTGGGGCAGGAAGAATAAATTGTTATTACCCTGATTATGGGAACTGTGCTTGGAACTGTACTTGGCCTTTTGTTATGATGGAGGAACTCACCATTAACTAAGTAGCACTCGCTAGGCAAGGGTCATGGGTTCCAAAACTCTGTGAATTGAGAGAGATTGTGATAAGTATTAATACTCAGTGGCATAGATCCCTTGGTGAGGGCCTTACATGCTAATTGCACTTCCTCTTCTCTCTACTGTGGAATATCAGAGCTAATTTTTATTCTATTAGGAGTCTAGTTACAGGCTGCTGAGCTCACTTTGGGCTAATGGTGCACCAGCACTGAGGCTCCCCTAGTACAAGCTGGATTCACCAAAGAGCTGAACTGACTAAGAGCTGAAATCACTGAATGTTGTGTTAAGTAGTGGGGGAGCCTGAAGATCTATTGTGGAGCAGTTCGTGGGGCGGCGGGAGCTGCTTATGGGACGCGGAGTGGAGCAGTTCGTGGGGCGGCGTGGAGCCCTATGGAGCTGCGGGGCAGTCAGCTTCAGATCATGTAAGGTGCCCCTTACATCTCTCCCCCCCCCCCCATCTCCACCCAGGTTGGGAGGTAAAGCTCTGCAGATAAACTTTCAAACTCTGGGGCTGCCCTGACCAGGGACAGAGACTTTTGGGACTTTGGGTGATTTCGGGTTGCTGGACTCAAGAACCAAAGGGAAAGGACACGACCCAATTTGCTTGGGGTGGGTTTTTGCTCATGGGTTGTGTTGTGAATCCTGTTGGTGGTGTTTCCCCAACATAATGCCACATTGTTTCTCTCTGTTATTAAAAGGCTTTTTTGCCACACTCAGACTCTGTGCTTGCGAGAGGGGAAGTATTGCCTCTTGGAGGTGCCCAGTGGGGGTAGTATATATTTGTCCCAGGTCACTGGGTGGGAGCTCGAGCCGGTTTTGCATTGTGTTATTGGAATGGATCCCCTAGATATTGAACCTGGCCCTTGTTGCTGCCAATTCTGATGGGCAGAAGGGTTACACAGGTATTAATAATAAGCAGAACATTCTACAGGTGTTCACACGGTTGTGCTGTTTCTTCTGGTTGTATCCTTATGGCCATCCACGAGTTGTGGTCTGCACGGGTTATATCTCATTCATCTGCCGAAGTCATAAAAATCAATGCATTATGGGGAGACTTTAAAAGGCACTCCTGTTGATTTTTTGGGGTCTCTCCATTTTTGGGAGCCCAACAGCCCCTTTGGTTATTTTTTCTGGGGGTTTATCTAAAATTATTGGGGATATTTTCAAAAGCACAATCTACTTAAACCGCTAGAAATGATGGCATGTTTTTTTTTAAATTACACATTTCCTTTTTAAATTTACAATAAAGCCACGCAGACACAAGGGGACAAATCCATTCCTGGTGTAAGTAGGTATAACTCCATTTATATCAGTGCAATTGCACACACTTAATCCTGAGCTAAACTTGCTGTAAAAGCTTTAGTTAATATTTAAAATCTGCTTGCAAAGCAATTCATATTGTTGTTGTTTGGCTCTTAAGTGGGTGGAATCCAGGGAAGCTTAATTCACTCCCAACAGAGAAACCTACTTTGTGCTTAGAAAGATGAAACAATCGTGTCAGTCTTATTCATGAAAGTATGGGAAATTGCTCTTGAGCATTTTCAGCATTACTGTACATTCTTCAGTGTAGGGAGCATGGCTCTTCGGAGGCTTTTCCTTCCTCATTCAGCACACTTGGCACCTTCACTGGAGGACAGGGCTTCCCGCAACAAGATGGCAACATATTCCATACTTGGGTGGCTCAAGGGCTTGGCTCTCGGTCACTTGTTCAAATACAGTGCTGGTAAATAGCAACTAAAAGTTGCAACACTCTGATGGCTGGTGAGTTCGTTAAATGAATTTCTGGTCTCGACTCAGTTCCTAGTGAACCACTGTCCACAGCCCGGCCCATTTCCTGGCTACAATCACGGCACATAGGCCAAGAGTAGGTGGGTTAGAAGAACTCGCCATTTGCTCACAGAATTGGTCTCTCCACATCAGAGTTGAGGCATGTTGGTGGAGCAGGAAACGAGGGAATCTTGCATTGCTGCCTGTTCTGTTCATAACTAGAGGACTTTGATCTCCAAGGACCATCATTTACTAAGAGCTAATTCGTTGTTTCATGGAGACTTGCATTTAACAGACGTGAAATACTGGTCACCCCTCTGTTAATTCCCACTAGCTCTTCCCCTAGCGATGATGAGGGTTGACTTTTGCATAGATGACATTGTCATCTCTCTGTTTTGGCCGTATCTTCACTTCCGTGTAAACAACATCTTCCTCTGCTTTTGCGTCCCTTTTGTGGAAGTTCAAGTCAACGTAAGTCACCTCATCGGCTGGTGGAGGGGAAGACTGCAAAGCAAGAGGAAAATGAGTGAAGACTGCTCGTTCCTTTCATGCCCATATCATACTGTTATAATGCTAGACCATCTTCCACTGACACAGGCACTATAAAAGGGTGTGCTGACTTTTTAGGAAGCTGTATTCTGATTATGAGATACCTCTAAAGTTCATGGAACAAATGCAGCATTCTCCAGTATTTTGAGGTTTCTGGAGCTGCATAAGATTCCCCCTGCCTTGAACTTCCCAGTCCAACTGCCTGGATCCAATGCTGCATTCTCTATTATCACTGAAGATCCTGCGCAATCGCTAATTTATGTGCTCTTTATCTTTGCTCTAAGGCTAATTAATTCTTGATTCCCCTCTAGCTTTTTAAATGTCGTACCACCCCTGATCCTATTCAGGACTAGTGCTGCATTTTCTGTTACTCTGAAGTTCTTGGAGCAGTCTGTAAAAGGAGAACCGATTTCTTTATTACCTTGTATTCCTGGAGTTGATGCTCAATACCCCTATGCTAGAGAGAAAAATTAAATGCAGCTCTTACGATAAGCTCTCCAACTCACCGTCTCCATCTGAGTCATCTCTGCCTCTGACCTGCTTTGAAGTGGTTCTGGAAAAAAAATGAAGTTGTGGCCAAGCTGGTAATTCTCTGATGACCTTTGGGTCACTTCAATGAAGGAGGTAGTTGTCAGTCTAGTTAGTTCATAGTGGAGCAGTATCTACATCCCACATGTTCCCACCAAGCAATTGCCAATAATTGGCGGCTTTGTTGGCAATCCAGCCAAAGGTGGAATAGACGTGGAGACTGAATCCACCTTTCACACCTTGAGGTGCTTCCTCAGGTCAGGGAGGAGACATAGAATAGTCCTACCATTGCCCAGGCGGTATCTGTGCTTAGGTATGAGACTTCACTAACTAGGGCTGCCTGTTCACCACCGCTGCTGTACATTCACTGCCAAAAATTCCCCAAATTACTCCTTATTCAGCTAAAGGAAGGACACAAAGAAGAATCTATCGGCATCCTATGAGCTCCCTTCATACAGAAATTGCTTGCATTTATTGTCCAAGTAAATCTTACCTTTGGAGCACTGTCTCCATCTCCACAAAAGGATACCGAGCACCAGCAAGAAGAGAATTGTCCCAGCCGCAGCTCCAGCAACAATGTAAGAGCTCATTAGCCATTGGTCATGTGCTGTTGAAAGAAACATTCATTAGCTGCTGTCCTACTAGACAGGCGCTACAGAGGCAGGGCAAGTTGAGTTATTGCACTCCCATCACCACTAGTTCTAGGGAAAGACAACACAGGTTGGGTCATGCATTACCACCTCTACAGGAGTCCTGCTGGAGAGTGGCAGGGGAAGATGCTGTGAGCTAGGTCACTAGACCACCACTACCTGAGGCATCCCGCAGCAGAACAGCCAAAGGAGAAAAGGGAAGCCGGGTCTCTGCTCCACCTCTACTGGAAGAATGATAACTGACACCATCCTGGTGGATTCGTTTGTCAGAAGATGATATTTGCAATGGGCTAATCAGTTAGGATAAAGTACGGACTTGCTTACACCCTCACCCAGAATCAAACTGGAACCTGTGCTGAGGTTCCACAAGATTTCTCTTATTTTTAAAAAAAAAATACAGTATTCTACAGTTATGGTCCAAACCATGGCAGTTTACAATAGTGGTACTGCAGTGAGTGGGTTTTTAGGACTGTCCTCTGTCTAGACACTTCTTGTTTTTGTCCAAGACTGAAAGCAGAACCAGCAATATACTGAGAGGCATTTCCATCCTGCTCAAAATGTGGAAACACTGGAAATCTTCTTACAAGAGAGCCTATCATGGTGAAATTGACTGTTCAACATGGGCGAGAAGAGCTTCTGAACCTGGAGGTGCTTCTCCGAACCTCTGAACCTTTTGTGATTCGCCTGTCACCACATGGCTCAGAGAATTCTGGTGGGCAGCAATGCTGTGCGAGGGACATCAGGAAAAGGGGAGGGTTGCAAGTACTTGGATGACAAAAAAAAAAAAAGAAAGAAAGGAAAAAGATGGGCAGGATCTGGAAAGCCACCGGGAATCACTGACTTCTCACTGCAAATCTTTCCATAGCTTTGCCTTCTCCTTCTGTTTGCCAGCAACTCCTGTCCAATCAATATCACACCATGCAAAGTATTAGCATTAGCTCTTCCTTTCCTGGTCCTTATTCTTCCCTAGGAAATACAGTGAAGATCTGAGAGGACAATGCTGCTATTTACCCTGGATGGTCACTCTGGATCCATTTCCAACACCATTTTTACCAAAGTCACATCTGTAGAGCCCGGAGTCGTTCCTATTGATTTTGATCAAGGTGAGAGAGGCCAGGCCCTTTGAGGAGTCTAGGACTGTTGTGACAATGCCTGTTCCATTCTTCAGCTCATTCTCGTGTCCATCAGCCCCCTTCTTATACCACGTAACACTGTACATGGTGCTGGAGTCTTTCACCACCTTGAACCTACACTCTATAGGTAGCTTTTTTCCTTCTAATCCATTCATTACGGCAGGCATCTGATTCACCAGCAGGTCAACAGCTGCAAAGAGAGAAGCACAGGTGACTGTACCTTGGTGCAGGAACATTTCAGTTGATTGGTGTGTGTATATATACACATATGATTTATATAAAATTATATATACACATATATTTTAAATGTCATGGATAAAGATGACTGGGCAAGATCTCCAATGGGAGGAAGCAAGATTGCTACTGTGCGTGGAGAGTGTTTCTGCAGGGCTCTGCCAGTAATTTGTTCTCATTTGTTTGCTTTTGGTTCCTCTTTAATCAAGAAGCATGTTGAGATTCTTGGGTGCCTTGTGTTTCAGTCTGGCTAGAATTACAGGTCTTTCATAGAAAATAGGTTCTGTTTTTCACACTCAGAGGCTCGGGAGGAGTTCTTGCTACAGCCCTCGCACCTGGGGTGGGGGTAATTTAAGAAACTCTCTGTGACAGCCTCATTCAGGGTTTCTTCCTATCCTGGTTGTGAAGTTCCAGAACCAGAGCCTTTTCTGGTGTAAATCAGCATCACTCCTTTGGTATCAGCTGAGGATTTGGCTCACAGATCTGATGTGAAGGACACTCTTTGCAAGCAGGACTTACCAGTATAGAACATTCATTGAAATGTTCTCAAATGCTCTGGTCTTGCTATTTCAACCCAATTTACTCACCATCATCCAAAACAAACTGCACTACCCTGGAAATTCTTCCCGTTTTTGGTTGTGGATCTAAGTTTTGTTTTGATTTTTGGGCAGAGGGAAGCTACTGACTCACATGATCAAAAGAAATCCTGACCCCTTGCTTCCTACAGCATCAAGAGATCAGAACGAAGGGGAAGCTTTGCCAATGTCCCTCTGGCCCCATCTCTTCTTGTTCATGCTTTTTACTTAAAAAAAATTAGACCTCACGTTTAAACGTGGAGCTCTGATATCCATGGAAAAACAATACCTTCCTGCAAGCAAAGAAGGATTGTATTAGGCATTGTAATACATTCTTCCTCTTAAGTCAGCCCCAGTGGTACGTGGGCATAGCTCATAATGCCCCATTATGGATCCATATAGAACAGGAACCCCCGCTCTATTGTGGTGCTTAAGGTCCATATATTACAGATATTCACAGGAACAATCACTGGCAAATGATGTTACGCAAAGAATCTAGCAGCTAGACTAAAATGTCATCCATTGACATATGACTAGTCAATACTCTTGGGCAATTCAGCCTCGCTAATTGGAGTCAAATCAATGATGGGGAAGCAGGGGATAGAGAAGAGTCCTCTATTCCCATCCCAAGTCCCCCCACGCCCCAATGATCATTTAAAGACCTTTAAGGAGCTGCAGGGTTGGCAATTCCTCCAGATGAGACATTGGTTAGTCAATAGCAACCCAATGCAGCAGAAGCCCTGGTATATACAGACTTATAAGAATAATAGGGCAGCATGCCAAGCCCAATACATCTATACAGCCTTATTTAACGAAGGCCAGTGGCAAATATTCAGAAATGCTTCAACAGAGTTGGAGTCAGGAATTCCCCCACCAACACCACAATGACAAAATTACTGTGTAGATTATGGGTCTGTTCAACAGCGGCAGGTGAGAAGCCAGACAATTTAATATTCTAGTAACATGAGAATTCTGAATAGGCAGTAATATAATAAACTATTTTCTCATGGTCACTATTAAAATGTCAGTACTTACCCATAAGGTGGGTGAGGTAATATCTTTTACTGGGACAACTTGAGAGAGACAAGGTTTTTGAACTTACTCAGAGCTCATCTTCAGCTTTGGGAAACTTAGCCTTTGTCTACATTACCACTTTTGCTGATGAAACTTATGTCGATTAAGGGGATATTTTTTTCACACCCGTGACTGACAAAAATTTTACCAGCAAAAGTGTAGGTGTGGAGAGCACTATGTCCGCAGGAGAGCTTCTCCTGCCGACATAGCTAACAGTGCTCATTGGCATAGGATAGGTGGTGGAACTAGGAGTGCCTGCTCTGGTATAGGGCGGTGCCCCCCGGGCTTTCTCCCTGGAGACTCTTTGCCTTATAAGTTCTTGTTGCCCCAGCTAGGTCACGCCTTCAAGTTCAGTCCTCTTCTGGGGTAACAAAGTCCAGCAAATGGCCCTCTGCGGGGTCTTCAGCCCTTTAAATTCCAGCTCTGTGCTTGGGCTTCTAAATAAACTTGTCCCCTTCTCAGGGCTTTGGCCACCCTGACCCAGCCCCCCCCCCCCCCACTACTCCGGGTCCCAAGCCAGGGACTCTACAAATAGCAGCCACGTGCTGCTTCCTGTCAAGCTGCTGTTGTTCCCTGGGCTGCTTCCCATGTAGTCCCTTCCGCTTCACCCTTATCTCAGGGCTGAAGTTCTTAACTCCTCTTTTTCTATACCAAATGCCAGTGCCACCAGAACCCACCTCCTGGTTCTCCCTTGAGCTTCATCAAGGAGCACCCTTCCTTACTCCTCTAGACCCTTACAGGAACTGACCTGCTCAGGCCCAGCAGTTCCTTTTAACTGAGCCTGCTGAGCTCTGATTGGCTGCTACCCTGCAGCCTTTCTAGGTAGGTCTGGAGGACCCACCTTCACTGCTCCTTTTCTAGGGCCTGGTGCACTCCCTCACACTGACCCACATTGTCTCTCTAATATCCAGGGACCCACACGGCTACAAGAACACTCCATAATTTACACACAGCCTATCTCTGAGATACCACTGCATCTCCCTGTCCTAGACTAGGAAGTAGCTGTGGGGTTTCAGTTACCATGTGGGAAGTGTGAGTCCGTGGTGACCACAGTGTACTATCCTGACAATGCAGATCAGAGAAGATAATGCTGCTGTTTACCCTGGTAAACTCTGGTTCCATTCCCACGGCCATTTTTGCCGAAGTCACATCCGTAGAACCCAGAATCACTCATGCTGGCTTTAGTCAAGGTGACAGAAGCCAGGCCCGCTGAGAAATCTAGAGTTATTGTGACTGAGCCGGCTTAGTTTTTCAGCTCCTTCTCGTGTCCGTCAGCCCCTGTTTTATACCATTTAACAGAGTACTTGGTGCCGGGTTTCTCCAGAGCCCTGCATCTACATGCTATGTTCAGCTGTTTCCCTTCCTCCTCATTGACAAAGACAGGGCTCTGATTCACCAGCAGGTCAACAGCTGCAGAGAGAGAGAAACACAAGTGACTTCACCTTGATGCAGAAACATGTCAATCAGCTGAAGTATTTAAAGAAACAGTTTTTCTCTCCAGCATTTCAGGCCCCTTTATGAAGCTTGGCCATTAAAATATCCCCTGTAGGTGTTAAGAAGTTAACTGATGCGCTCCAGTTTGTAGCCATAGCAAGATTTCTGTGTTTCCCAGAAACAATTCTGGCCATTGACAAAAAGCAGGAAAATTACAGCTTCCTAAACATCATCTTCAAACATCTTTTCCTATAAAGCCTTTTGATACAAAGTCATAAGCAGGACTCCACAGAAGATGAGGCAAAGTGCCATAGCAAGCTCTGTATGTACTGTAGAATTCCTCTAGTCATGTGCTGGGATGATAACTCCTCTTCTGAGTCGCACAATGAGTGAATCTGATCTCTTTGCTGTCTTGTGTTCTAATTTCAGTGGAGACTTCATTTTTTCCCTCTGGAGAGTATTCCTGAACTTTTAGAATCATACGTGCTTTGAAGAGAACAACAGGAATTTATCTTGTTAGTGCCACAGAGGAAGAACCACAAAAAACCCTTCTGGGTACATGCCACTTCCAGCTACACTTACAGATCACTACAAGGGGAAATGAGGCTCCCATTAATGTGGCTTTGAAGCTCAATTTCCCTTCACATGGGAGAAGAGGTTTAGAAATGGGAGGTGTCACCAAACCCATCCCAAGAGATTAGCAAAGACAGCTGAGTGTACTTGGAGAAAGGGAAGAAGGAAGAGGACTAACTTAGGGTATGCTGACGCAGCAAAGAAAAACCCGCAGCTGGCCCATGCCAGCCAACTTGAGCTCTCGGGGATGAGGCTGCGGGGCGGTTTCATTGCTGTGTAGACTTCTGGGCTCGAGCTGTGGTCCAGGCTCTAGGGCCCTGCAGCGTGGGAGGGCAGTGAGGGGGAACTATAAGCTGCAGAGACTGAAAGCAACCTCCTAAAAGTTCAGATCAGATCAGATAATATTCAGATAAGCATCCCGAGTGTGAAGGAATACACCAAATCTTTCGAGCTTTGTCCACCACCCCTGAGCTCGCATCTCACGTGCTCTCAAAAGGTGAAAAAACCTACCATAATATTAATGGTGTTATCTATGGTTATGGTGACGCTCAGAGAAATTAGTGGATTCCTGTGTTACACACTTAGATATGGGTGAGAGGGAAACTTGAGCTCAATATAGTTACTGGGGAGCGTTAGAGCACAAGCGGGCAAATGGCAATGAGGAAATTAAAACTGGCTGACGTTGGAAAGATGCTTGAGAACAGTTACCGAGCCTGGAGTGTGGGATGGGATTCGGGTCTTTGGATCTTTGAGGTTTGCACACTCTATCAGCTGCTTCAGTAGAACAGAGGAGACAAAGGAACTGCAAATTGAGAACCCAACTCCATTTCTCTTGTTTTAGAGTTGCGGACAAATTGTCCTCAGACTAACGTGTCTGGAAACAAACTCAAATTCGCATGTACAAACAAATCATCATTTCTGTACATGCATTAAACCTCCCCATGCTGGCATTTCCAGTTGTGACTCAGAACCATCACAGGTGAATACCGACATGCCAGGCTTCAGAGCATTTGCCAAGCACACCCTGATCTTGTGCTAGCTGTGTACATACATGTAGAGAGCCAGTACCTGCCCAAGGAGTTTAAAATCGAAATAGACAAGACAGACAGAAGCTGGGAAAGGAAATATTATCTCCATTTTACAGACGGAGGCTCAGGGAGACCAAATGACTTGCCTGAGGTCATACAGAGAGTCTGTGACCGTCAGAAATAAAATGAAAACCTCCTAATTCCTAGTCTCCTGCTCGAACCACTACAATATACTGCCTTTCCGCACTGCCTCTGCTGTACCCATCTGCAACAGGGAGGCCTGCCCCATGGGATGGAGAGCCTGGGCTAAGCTAACCCTGATTACAGGATAAGTCCCACCTGAGCAGAATCAGGTGCTTCCGGTACAAAAGAAGCAGGAAGTTGCTGAGAAGGGGGCAAGCCCAGGAAATGGTGGCCAAGTCTGTGGACACTGCAGCGAGTGAGATGACTCCTGCAAGGTTCTGAGCCAGCAGGGGGAAAGCTCAAGAAGCAGGAGAAAGTGAGGAAAGGTCTCCAGGGTGGGGAGGCCTGGGAGAGACCCAGTCCAAGCAGGGGAGAGACTGCCAAGGCCCAGTGGGAAAGGCCTGTGGAGGAGGACAAAGAGGAGGTGCTTTTTTTGAAGCAGGAAGACAGTCCCTCGGGGAGGTAGGGCTGTGCCCAGCTGAAGTTGGGATGAAGACAGGGTGAGTTTGTGTTGTGTTGTTTTGGAGTATCAGGAGCAACACACTGCACTGGGGCCTAGAGGGCCAATATGCCCCTGGGGACTCAAGTTACTGGACTGCAGGAGGTGATGGTTTGAACTAACTTTAAACTGAGTGAGTTGTTAAAGGGTCCTGAAGAGGGGGAAATGGGTCCGGTGCTGAAAAGTGGCCTCTGGCCACAAGTTGGTGCTAGAAAGCTGCCCATGTTACACTCTCCCGTTCATAATCTCAGGGTCTCAACTGAGCATCTTCCACTTGCACCAGAAATCATCAGACCAATACACACAATATGTATTGCCGCTCCCTTTTCCCAGCACCATGTGCTCACCCCGTTGCCGGTAGTGAGAATTGTGAGCTCAGACGCAGCAATCGGCAGTAGAAATGTTGGGTCTATCGTGACCGGGATGTGGGGTTTTCAAATGAGCTTTTTCCTTTTCACTTGGCAGATGGGAAGGATCCTTTAGAGCTACAACCAGCTCGGTGGATGGCCATCGAGAGTTACAGCAGAAGCTCTCTCTGTACGTCTTGCCATGCCCCCACATTGCAGATGCCCCCTTGGCATAGAATCCTAGAGCCACAGGGTTAGATGGGACTGCAAGGGTCATCTAGTCTTCCCCCCACCCCCCGCCAAGATGCAGCATTTGTTGTGTCTAAACCAGGGCGTCTGACACTTCACTGCACCGCGACCCCCTTCTGACCACAAAAATTACTACACAATGCCAGGAGGGGGGTACCGAAGCCTGAGCCTGCCTGAGCCCCATTGGCCCAGGCATGGGGGGGCCGGGGGCAAAGCCCAAGGGCTTCAGCCTCAGGCAGAGGGCCCGTAACCTGAGCCCCGCTGCCCAGGGCTGAAGCCCTCAGGTTTTGGCCCCAGGCAGTGGGGCTTGGGCTTTTGCTTTGGCCCCAGGCCCCAGCAAGACTAAGCCAACCCTAGCGACCCCATTAAAATGCAGTTGCGACCCACTTTGTGGTCCTGTCCCACAGTTTGACAACCGCTAAACCATCCAAGACAGATGCTCTCCAGCCTCCTTTTGAAAACGTCCAGTGAAGGCCCTTCCACAGCCTCCCCGGGTCTCTGTTCCAAGCTCACAGTTAGGAAGTTTTTCCTGAGATTTACTCTAAATCTGCCATGCTGTAGTTTGAACCCATCGACTCTTGTCCTGCCCTCCGTGGCAAGAGAGAACAACTTTTCTCCATCTTTTTTATGGCAGCCTTTCAAGGATTTGAAGACCACTATCATGTCCTGCACCTTAATCTTCTCTTTTCCAAACTACACATACCCAGCCATTGCTCATATGGCTGCATTCCATCCCTCTGATCATCTTTGTCGCTCGCCTCTGGATCTTACCTGCTTTTGCCTGCAACAGTCATTCACTCTCTGTCCTTTAGGCTGTCATTCGCTATCTCTCACCCCATGAAGATCAGATAGGAAAATCCTGGTACTTACGAGTGATGGTCACTTGGGTTCCGGCTCCTGACGCAGACCAGTTCCTTGCTGTGCTCCCCACCTCGCACACGTACGTTCCTGTATCGGTTACGTTCACGTTCTTCAGAGCAAAAGAAACAAAACCCTTTTCCAAAGCCAGGGCTGCTGAGCCCCAGCCTTTTTCGCTCATCAGCTCCTTCTTCGTTCCCCCAGTTCCGTTATGTTTATACCATTTCACATACAAGGTGTTGTGTTTTTTCAATACCGTGAATCTACACTCCATGGTGAGATCTGACCCTTCAGACACCTCGATATTGACTGGGGTCTGATTCACCATCAGCTTCGGAAAATCTGCAGGAGAGAAACACAGACGATTGCACCTTGATGCAGGAGAATTTCAGTAACAATGGCTGATGACTGGGGATGTATTAAAATAAATGTCTCCCCCTCCAGTATTTTGTGTTCTTTTCCCAGCCTGGCCATTTAACATCCCTTCCTTATCAGAGGTTAAAGTGATGCTTTCACTTAGTTCAATTCATAGCTTTATGATGCATGGCAAGACTTCTGTTTCTGGCCAGGAACCAGCAAACCATCCCCTCATACCCACCCGCACCCCGAATGTTCAGTCTGGAGACGTTGCCTCCCGCAATATGGATCATTATGTGAACCAGATCTGACATAAGAAGCAGCCCCAGGTTTCACCTATCCACAAATCAGACATGAATTCATGTCTAACTACCCTGTTATCTCTCACAAATTCCAGATTCCATGCATGCAGGCAGGCTTTGAATGTACCAATGGGTGTGCATGCAACATGGGCAAGCATACATTTAGAGACTAATTTGAGGCCATGTGAAACATTTGGCTGTGAAGGATCTAAAATTGAAACATTGTTCCCCCTTAATACCATGCTACAGGGCTCTATCTAGCAAGGAATTTAGTGCTTGAGGGCAGGCGTGAAGCACCCTCAGCTCCCCTGGAAGGTGGAACTGAAGACGCTCAACACCTTCCAGGAGATGTATGCTCTTGTTCTCATGTGCTCGCCCCCATTCCCCCAAGAAGATCAGGTAGGAAATTCTGGCCCTTACTCTCGATAGTCACTTGGGTTCCTGATCCATTATTATAGAGGTTCCTTGCTGTAATCCCCACCTCACAGATGTAGGTTCCTGTATTAGATGAATTTGCATTCTTCAAAGTGAGAGAGGCAAACCCATTGTCCAAATGCAGGGTTGTCATCACATCGCTCTCATTCACCAGCTCTTTCTTTAGTCCCTCGGTCCCATAGTTATACCATCGCACACGCATGGTACTGTGGTTATTGACTGTCTTGAATGTACAATTCATGGTAAGTTCTGAGCCTTCTAAATCACTGAAATTGGTTGGGGTTTGATTCACCATCAGGTCGGTAATTTCTGCAGAAAGAGAAACACAGATGATGACCCCTTCATTGAGAAATAGTTCAGTGTGCCAGCAGACAAGGGCAGATGTATAAAATGAATCTCTCGAGTCCTGACGTTCAGTTTCCCTTGCTCGTTTAGAGTTTAAACGGATGTTCTTTCGTTTGGCCCCATATAGAGCTGTATCGTGCATGTCAAGACTTTTCTGCTCTGTTTAGTGAGCAGGTAACCTCAGAGGCTTCAGTCTAGACCCTTCCAACAATGTGACTTCTTATCCAAACCTTGTGTACACCTGACATGCCTGCCAAATCCCTTACATTCAAAACCTTCTGGAGACCTATTTTGTTCCCCTAGCCCAATGCAGTAATGTAATGTAAGTCCTGCTTGCAAAGAGTGTCCTTCACATCAGATCTGTGAGCCAAATCCTCAGCTGATACCAAAGGAGTGATGCTGATTTACACCAGAAAAGGCTCTGGTTCTGGAACTTCACAACTGGGATAGGAAGAAACCCTGAATGAGGCTGTCACAGAGAGTTTCTTAAATTACCCCCACCCCAGGTACGAGGGCTGTAGCAAGAACTCCTCCCGAGCCTCTGAGTGTGAAAAACAGAACCTATTTTCTACGAAAGACCTGTAATTCTAGCCAGACCGAAACACAAGGCACCCAAGAATCTCAACATGCTTCTTGATTAAAGAGGAACCAAAAGCAATCAAATGAGAACAAATTACTGGCAGAGCCCTGCAGAAACACCTTCCACCCACAGTAGCAATCTTGCTTCCTCCCATTGGAGATCTTGCCCAGTCATCTTTATCCATGACATTTAAAATATATGTGTATATATAATTTTATATAAATTATATGTGTATATATACACACACCAATCAACTGAAATGTTCCTGCACCAAGGTACAGTCACCTGTGCTTCTCTCTTTGCAGCTGTTGACCTGCTGGTGAATCAGACGCCTGCCGTAATGAATGGATTGGAAGGAAAAAAGCTCACTATAGAGTGTAGGTTCAAGTTGGTGAAAGACTCCAGCACCATGTACAGTGTTACGTGGTATAAGAAGGGGGCTGATGGACACGAGAATGAGCTGAAGAATGGAACAGGCATTGTCACAACAGTCCTAGATTCCTCAAAGGGCCTGGCCTCTCTCACCTTGATCAAAATCAATAGGAATGACTCCGGGCTCTACAGATGTGACTTTGGTAAAAATGGTGTTGGAAATGGAACCAGAGTGACCATCCAGGGTTAATAACAGCATTGTGCTCTCAGATCTTCACTGTATTTCCTAGGGAAGAATAAGGACCAGGAAAGGAAGAGCTAATGCTAATACTTTGCATGGTGTGATATTGATTGGACAGGAGTTGCTGGCAAATAGAAGGAGAAGGCAAAGCTATGGAAAGATTTGCAGTGAGAAGTCAGTGATTCCCGGTGGCTTTCCAGATCCTGCCCATCTCTTTTTACTTTCTTTTTTTTTTTTTTTTTGTCATCCAAGTACTTGCAACCCTCCCCTTTTCCTGATGTCCCTTGCACAGCAGCACAGCATTGCTGCCCACCAGAATTCTCTGAGCCATGTGGTGACGGGCGAATCACAAAAGGTTCAGAGGTTCGGAGAAGCACCTCCAGGTTCAGAAGCTCTTCTCGCCCATGTTGAACAGTCAATTTCACCATGATAGGCTCTCTTGTAAGAAGATTTCCAGTGTTTCCACATTTTGAGCAGGATGGAAATGCCTCTCAGTATATTGCTGGTTCTGCTTTCAGTCTTGGACAAAAACAAGAAGTGTCTAGACAGAGGACAGTCCTAAAAACCCACTCACTGCAGTACCACTATTGTAAACTGCAGTGGTGTGGACCATAACTGTAGAATACTGTATTTTTTTTAAAAATAAGAGAAATCTTGTGGAACCTCAGCACAGGTTCCAGTTTGATTCTGGGTGAGGGTGTAAGCTGGTCCGCACACTGACACTCTCTTTGTAGGCTGTAAGCACAGCCCTGCCCAGAATAACAGTTGCACCCCGATCCTCACTCCCCTGCCAATCAGCTGAAGTATTTAAAGAAACAGTTTTTCTCTCCAGCATTTCAGGCCCCTTTATGAAGCTTGGCCATTAAAATATCCCCTGTAGGTGTTAAGAAGTTAAGTGATGCGCTCCAGTTTGTAGCCACAGCAAGATTTCTGTGTTTCCCAGAAACAATTCTGGCCATTGACAAAAAGCAGGAAAATTACAGCTTCCTAAACATCATCTTCAAACGTCTTTTCATATAAAGCCTTTTGACACAATGTGATAAGCAGGACTCCACAGAAGATGAGGCAAAGTGCCATAGCAAGCTCTGTATGTACTGTGGAATTCCTCTAGTCATGTGCTGGGATGATAACTCCTCTTCTGAGTCGCACAATGAGTGAATCTGATCTCTTTGCTGTCTTGTGTTCTAATTTCAGTGGAGACTTCATTTTTTCCCTCTGGAGAGTATTCCTGAACTTTTAGAATCATACGTGCTTTGAAGAGAACAACAGGAATTTATCTTGTTAGTGCCACAAAAGAAGAACCACAAAAAACCCTTCTGGGTACATGCTACTTCCAGCTACACTTACAGATCACTACAAGGGGAAATGAGGCTCCCATTAATGTGGCTTTGAAGCTCAATTTCCCTTCACATGGGAGGAGAGGTTTAGAAATGGGAGGTGTCACCAAACCCATCCCAAGAGATTAGCAAAGACAGCTGAGTGTACTTGGAGAAAGGGAAGAAGGAAGAGGACTAACTTAGGGTATGCTGACGCAGCAAAGAAAAACCCGCAGCTGGCCCATGCCAGCCAACTTGAGCTCTCGGGGATGAGGCTGCGGGGCGGTTTCATTGCTGTGTAGACTTCTGGGCTCGAGCTGTGGTCCAGGCTCTAGGGCCCTGCAGCGTGGGAGGGCAGTGAGGGGGAACTATAAGCTGCAGAGACTGAAAGCAACCTCCTAAAAGTTCAGATCAGATAATATTCAGATAAGCATCCCGAGTGTGAAGGAATACACCAAATCTTTCGAGCTTTGTCCACCACCCCTGAGCTCGCATCTCACGCGCTCTCAAAAGGTGAAAAAACCTACCATAATATTAATGGTGTTATCTATGGTTATGGTGACGCTCAGAGAAATTAGTGGATTCCTGTGTTACACACTTAGATATGGGTGAGAGGGAAACTTGAGCTCAATATAGTTACTGGGGAGCGTTAGAGCACAAGCGGGCAAATGGCAATGAGGAAATTAAAACTGGCTGACGTTGGAAAGATGCTTGAGAACAGTTACCGAGCCTGGAGTGTGGGATGGGATTCGGGTCTTTGGATCTTTGAGGTTTGCACACTCTATCAGCTGCTTCAGTAGAACAGAGGAGACAAAGGAACTGCAAATTGAGAACCCAACTCCATTTCTCTTGTTTTAGAGTTGCGGACAAATTGTCCTCAGACTAATGTGTCTGGAAACAAACTCGAATTCGCATGTACAAACAAATCATCATTTCTGTTCATGCATTAAACCTGCCCCGTGCTGGCATTTCCAGTTGTGACTCAGAACTATCACAGATGAATACCGACATGCCAGGCTTCAGAGCATTTGCCAAGCACACCCTGATCTTGTGCTAGCTGTGTACATACATGTAGAGAGCCAGTACCTGCCCAAGGAGTTTAAAATCGAAATAGACAAGACAGACAGAAGCTGGGAAAGGAAATATTATCTCCATTTTACAGACGGAGGCTCAGGGAGACCAGATGACTTGCCTGAGGTCATACAGAGAGTCTGTGACCGTCAGAAATAAAATGAAAACCTCCTAATTCCTAGTCTCCTGCTCGAACCACTACAATATACTGCCTTTCCGCACTGCCTCTGCTGTACCCATCTGCAACAGGGAGGCCTGCCCCATGGGATGGAGAGCCTGGGCTAAGCTAACCCTGATTACAGGATAAGTCCCACCTGAGCAGAATCAGGTGCTTCCAGTACAAAAGAAGCAGGAAGTTGCTGAGAAGGGGGCAAGCCCAGGAAATGGTGGCCAAGTCTGTGGACACTGCAGCGAGTGAGATGACTCCTGCAAGGTTCTGAGCCAGCAGGGGGAAAGCTCAAGAAGCAGGAGAAAGTGAGGAAAGGTCTCCAGGTGGGGAGGCCTGGGAGAGACCCAGTCCAAGCAGGGGAGAGACTGCCAAGGCCCAGTGGGAAAGGCCTGTGGAGGAGGACAAAGAGGAGGTGCTTTTTTTGAAGCAGGAAGACAGTCCCTCGGGGAGGTAGGGCTGTGCCCAGCTGAAGTTGGGATGAAGACAGGGTGAGTTTGTGTTGTGTTGTTTTGGAGTATCAGGAGCAACACACTGCACTGGGGCCTAGAGGGCCAATATGCCCCTGGGGACTCAAGTTACTGGACTGCAGGAGGTGATGGTTTGAACTAACTTTAAACTGAGTGAGTTGTTAAAGGGTCCTGAAGAGGGGGAAATGGGTCCGGTGCTGAAAAGTGGCCTCTGGCCACAAGTTGGTGCTAGAAAGCTGCCCATGTTACACTCTCCCGTTCATAATCTCAGGGTCTCAACTGAGCATCTTCCACTTGCACCAGAAATCATCAGACCAATACACACAATATGTATTGCCGCTCCCTTTTCCCAGCACCATGTGCTCACCCCGTTGCCGGTAGTGAGAATTGTGAGCTCAGACGCAGCAATCGGCAGTAGAAATGTTGGGTCTATCGTGACCGGGATGTGGGGTTTTCAAATGAGCTTTTCCTTTTCACTTGGCAGATGGGAAGGATCCTTTAGAGCTACAACCAGCTCGGTGGATGGCCATCGAGAGTTACAGCAGAAGCTCTCTCTGTACGTATTGCCATGCTCCCACATTGCAGATGTCCCCTTGGCATAGAATCCTAGAGCCACAGGGTTAGATGGGACTGCAAGGGTCATCTAGTCTTCCCCCCACCCCCCGCCAAGATGCAGCATTTGTTGTATCTAAACCAGGGCGTCTGACACTTCACTGCACCGCGACCCCCTTCTGACCACAAAAATTACTACACAATGCCAGGAGGGGGGTACCGAAGCCTGAGCCTGCCTGAGCCCCATTGGCCCAGGCATGGGGAGGCGGGGGGCAAAGCCCAAGGGCTTCAGCCTCAGGCAGAGGGCCCGTAACCTGAGCCCCGCTGCCCAGGGCTGAAGCCCTCAGGTTTTGGCCCCAGGCAGTGGGGCTCGGGCTTTTGCTTTGGCCCCAGGCCCCAGCAAGTCTAAGCCAGCCCTAGTGACCCCATTAATATGCAGTTGCGACCCACTTTGGGGTCCTGTCCCACAGTTTGACAACCGCTAAACCATCCAAGACAGATGCTCTCCAGCCTCCTTTTGAAAACGTCCAGTGAAGGCCCTTCCACAGCCTCCCCGGGTCTCTGTTCCAAGCTCACAGTTAGGAAGTTTTTCCTGAGATTTACTCTAAATCTGCCATGCTGTAGTTTGAACCCATCGACTCTTGTCCTGCCCTCTGTGGCAAGAGAACAACTTTTCTCCATCTTTTTTATGGCAGCCTTTCAAGGATTTGAAGACCGCTATCATGTCCTGCAGCTTAATCTTCTCTTTTCCAAACCACACATACCCAGCCATTGCTCATATGGCTGCATTCCATCCCTCTGATCATCTTTGTCACTCGTCTCTGGATCTTTTCCAGGTTTTCTACCTACTTTCCATACAGGGATGCATTCTATGCATGGATGAAGATGTTCTCACAGAATAAGAAGCAACTCTTTAACCATAACATCAGTTTAGCTCCAGGTGCAGATGAACATTGGGGGCTGCTTCTTATCCCATCCAGTGCAATTGTGGTGCAGTGGTGAGTTAGGTTCATCACCCTCCTTAATGTTCTTATTAGAGGCCTGAGTCCTGGGAGGTTCTGAACACCCCTCTTCGGGGCATTTGGGGGAAATTTTCAAAAGTCCCTACGTGACTTGGAAGCCTAAGTCCTGTTGGCAAAAGTGACTGATTTCAATGGGAGTTAGGTGCTGAGCTGCTTTTGAAAATCCGAACGACAACTTTTGGTGCCTAAATGCCTTTAAAAATGTGGCCCTGAGTGCCTAAGACCCCTCTGAAACTTGGAGGCTCCTAAAACACTTAGGTACCTTGAACTATGTTACCTTCAATTCCTTACAGGCTGAAGCCCCTATTTTCTATGGGTTACTTGTACACATCTGAGAATACATACCTGCTTTTGCCAGCAACGGTCGTTCACTCTCGGTCCTTTAGGCTGTCATTCGCTACCTCTCACCCCATGAAGATCAGATAGGAAAATCCTGGTACTTACGAGTGATGGTCACTTGGGTTCCGGCTCCTGATGCAGACCAGTTCCTTGCTGTGCTCCCCACCTCACACACGTACGTTCCTGTATCGGTTACGTTCACGTTCTTCAGAGCGAAAGACACAAAACCCTTTTCCAAAGCCAGGGCTGCTGAGCCCCAGCCTCTTTCGCTCATCAGCTCCTTCTTCGTTCCCCCAGTTCCGTTATGTTTATACCATTTCACATACAAGGTGTTGTGATTTTTCAATACCGTGAATCTACACTCCATGGTGAGATCTGACCCTTCACACGCATCGATATTGACTGATGTCTGATTCACCGTCAGCTTGGGAAAATCTGCAGGAGAGAAACACAGACGATTGCACCTTGATGCAGGAGAATTTCAGTGGCAATGGCTGATGACTGGGGATGTATTGAAATAAATGTCTCCCCCTCCAGTATTTTGTGTTCTTTTCCCAGCCTGGCCATTTAACATCCCCTTCTTATCAGAGGTTAAAGTGATGCTTTCACGTAGTTCAATTCATAGCTTTATGATGCATGGCAAGACTTCTGTTTCTGGCCAGGAACCAGCAAACCATCCCCTCATACCCACCCCCACCCCGAATGTTCAGTCTGGAGAAGTTGCCTCCTGCAATATGGATCATTATGTGAACCAGATCTGACATAAGAAGCAGCCCCAGGTTTCACCTATCCACAAATCAGACATGAATTAATGTCTAACTACCCTGTTATCTCTCACAAATTCCAGATTCCATGCATGCAGGCAGGCTTTGAATGTACCAATGGGTGTGCATGCAACATGGGCAAGCATACGTTTAGAGACTAATTTGAGGCCATGTGAAACATTTGGCTGTGAAGGATCTAAAATTGAAACATTGTTCCCCCTTAATACCGTGCTACAGGGCTCTATCTAGCAAGGAATTTAGTGCTTGTGGGCAGGCGTGGAGCACCCTCAGCTCCCCTGGAAGGTGGAACTGAAGACACTCAACACCTTCCAGGAGATGCGTGCTCTTGTTCTCATGTGCTCGCCCCCATTTCCCCAAGAAGATCAGGTAGGAAATTCTGGCCCTTACTCTCGATAGTCACTTGGGTTCCTGTTCCATTCCCAGAGAGGTTCCTTGCTGTGATCCCCACCTCACAGATGTAGGTTCCTGTATTAGATGAATTTGCATTCTTCAAAGTGAGAGAGGCAAACCCATTGTCCAAATGCAGGGTTGTCATCACATCGCTCTCATTCACCAGCTCTTTCTTTAGTCCCTCGGTCCCATAGTTATACCATCGCACACGCATGGTACTGTGGTTATTGACTGTCTTGAATGTACAATTCATGGTAAGTTCTGAGCCTTCTAAATCACTGAAATTGGTTGGGGTTTGATTCACCATCAGATCGGTAATTTCTGCAGAAAGAGAAACACAGATGATGACCCCTTCGTTGAGAAATAGTTCAGTGTGCCAGCAGACAAGGGCAGATGTATAAAATGAATCTCTCGAGTCCTGACATTCCGTTTCCCTCGCTTGTTTAGAGTTTAAACGGATGTTCTTTCGTTTGGCCCCATATAGAGCTGTATCGTGCATGTCAAGACTTTTCTGCTCTGTTTAGTGAGCAGGTAACCCCAGAGGCTTCAGTCTAGACCCTTCCAACAATGTGACTTTTTACCCAAACCTTGTGTACACCTGACATGCCTGCCAAATCCCTTACATTCAAAACCTTCTTGAGACCTATTTCGCTCCAGCAGCCCAATGCAGGGCAAGAGAGACAGTGGTCAATTCTCCTTCGTTACAGGAAAATGGGATTCCCTAAGGATGTGGAATGAGCAGTTCTGAGACGTGATGCACTTCTGCTGGAAATGGCAGGGGAGTGAGGATCGGGGTGCAACCGTTATTCTGGGCAGGGCTGTGCTTACAGCCTAGCGAGAGAGTGCCAGCAAGTCTTTATTTACTGGTTTTACTGGTGGAAACTTCAGCAGTTCCAGGGCTAGGCGGCAGCTGAGCAGGGGTTTTGAGGATCTCTGTGGCACCCAGATGTTGGATTTAAGGGCCTAAAACCCTGTGTGGATTTAATCCTTTAATCTCTCTGTGTTCCACTTCCCAATCCACTGTTAGTACGTCTGCCCGTTCTCCCCACTCTTGTCTGTTTAGAGTGTAAATTCGTTGGCAAAGGGGCTCTCTCACTATGTCCATGTACAGTGGAGCTGATTGCAGATGTTCTGGGAAAACTTAGCTGAGACTGAACATGCCAATGCACTGAAGGGAACCGATTTACCAAATCTTCTACAGATTTGACTCTACTTTCGTCAAAACACACACAGGTCTCTGTTGGTGTTCCAAGCTCCACAGGGTTCAAAAAAGAACTAGATAAGTTCCTGAAGGATAGGTCCATCAATGGCTATGAGCCAGGATGGGCGGGGATGGGGATGCCAGAAGCTGGGAATGGGCGACAGGGGATGGATCACTGGATGATTGCCTGCTCTGTTCATTCCCTCTGGGGCACCTGGCACTGGCCACTGTCAGAAGACAGGAACTGGGCTAGATGGACCTTTGATCTCACCCAATAGGGCTGTTCTTATGTCCCACGAGCCTCAGCTCGGGGAGTCAGGGAGTCGAGTCTCGGGGCAGATAGGCTCCCCACTCTGTGGCAGAGCCAGGTCTCTAGGGGCTCTTGTTGTCTGCTAGGCTCCCTGCTTGAGCCAGGGCTCTTGGCACTTCCAGTGTCCCTGCCATGGAGCTGAAAGCCTGGAAGTTCTAGGACCAGCTCCCAGGGGGTGCAGCTGTGGGGTAGATCCGCCATGCAGACTGCCCCGGGCTGGGGATCCCAGGGCTCCTAGAGTCCTGGGCCAGTGACTCCCCAGGTTGCTCTACTCCTGAGCAGGCAGCTTGTAACTGGCCTCTGGGACTCTGGAAGCCCTTGGGTCCCTGGCCCTGGTGCATAGAATCATAGAATCATAGAATCATAGAATATCAGGGTTGGAAGGGACCCCAGAAGGTCATCTAGTCCAACCCCCTGCTCGAAGCAGGACCAATCCCCAGTTAAATCATCCCAGCCAGGGCTTTGTCAAGCCTGACCTTAAAAACCTCTAAGGAAGGAGATTCTACCACCTCCCTAGGTAACGCATTCCAGTGTTTCACCACCCTCTTAGTGAAAAAGTTTTTCCTAATATCCAATCTAAACCTCCCCCACTGCAACTTGAGACCATTACTCCTCGTTCTGTCATCTGCTACCATTGAGAACAGTCTAGAGCCATCCTCTTTGGAACCCCCTTTCAGGTAGTTGAAAGCAGCTATCAAATCCCCCCCTCATTCTTCTCTTCTGCAGGCTAAACAATCCCAGGTCCCTCAGCCTCTCCTCATAACTCATGTGTTCCAGACCCCTAATCATTTTTGTTGCCCTTCGCTGGACTCTCTCCAATTTATCCACATCCTTCTTGAAGTGTGGGGCCCAAAACTGGACACAGTACTCCAGATGAGGCCTCACCAATGTCGAATAGAGAGGAACGATCACGTCCCTCGATCTGCTCGCTATGCCCCTAGTTATACATCCCAAAATGCCATTGGCCTTCTTGGCAACAAGGGCACACTGCTGACTCATATCCAGCTTCTCGTCCACTGTCACCCCTAGGTCCTTTTCCGCAGAACTGCTGCCTAGCCATTCGGTCCCTAGTCTGTAGCTGTGCATTCCTTATCCGTCTTGATTTGGAATGAAAGCCAGTTCTGAAATAATGAAACTTCTCACAAACTGAACCCACCAGCTCTAGTGTACAGGGCCTAGCTCAGTGGGCCTGACATGTTGGTTGAGGACTCTAAGCACTATTGCAAAGCAAACGCTCAATAATAACCTATTACTGATCATACAACTTCATCCTGACTCTGCTAAACCCTTTGTGGGTTTGGCTTAGACTCTTCGCGGGCTAAACTAGAGGGATGCCCACATTTTGTTACATCTGTAGGTCAAGCACATTGCATGCACCAGGGACTCTTTGCATCCCTCTGTCCCCCACAAGGTCCCTGGGTACCACCCTCCCATTCCCCTCTATTTCAGGGACTCCCTAGCCCCCACCCTCATGCCAGGAGCTCTGTGTGTCCCCCATTTCTTCCCCCGCCCCCACCCTATGCTACAGTCCCCAATTCTGCTCCAAGCCAGGAGCTCTGTGCCCTAATTTTCTCCCTTACCACCATTCCAGAGTCCCCCATTCTCCCTGCATGCTCGGGGCTTTGGATGTACCCTCACTCCAGCGTTATTCCCAGACCAGGTCCCCCATCCTCCCCATGTCAGGGGCTCTGTGTGCCTTCCCCTCCTCCCTTCCCCACTATTGTTATTTCTCCTCTTTCTGACCGGGACATAAATCATCCAGAGTGTCAGCATGTTACACTCTACTGGGGAAAGGAGCAGAGATGAGATGGGAATTGTTTTTCTACTGGAAAGTGTTAATTGGTGCCATAAACTGCTTCTTTGATTTACACAGTTACAGAGGTGGCTTTGCTCCAAGCTGTTACTCTGCTAAACGGGGAGCTGGCACTCTGTGTCCCCCGCTTTTCCCCTTTGGGTTTTCTGATTTCCCCAATATCAACAGAGTTCTGCCCAGTGATGCCTTCAATACTCCCTGAAATTTTGGAATTGATGGGCTGCGGTGTTCCAAATTATTGCGTCACAGACAAAGAGAAATGCCATCAAGTTGAGTGCACTGTAGCTGTGTCAGTCCCAGGATATTAGAGCGACAAGGTGGGTGAGGTAATAGCTATTATTGGACCAACTTCTGTTGGTGAGAGAGATGAGCTTCCGAGCTACATAGAGCTCTTCCTCAGGTCTGGGAGAGGTCCTCCCAGCATCATAGCAAAATGCAATGCTTAAACTCCTGCATAGATTTCCACCGCAACTTCAACAACCAACACCCAGAGAGCCAGACATTAAACTCTGTGGAACATTCCCACACTAGCATCAACTTCCTGGACACCACCATCAGGTTCAACAATGGAACCCTACAGACAACCCTAGACCAGAAACCCACAGATCACCATACCTCACTCCCTTCATAAACCCCGTAACCACCCCAAACAACCAAGAAATCTGTAATCTACAACCAGGCATTCAGATAGCACAGAATACGCTCCTAGGAGAAAGTCTGGGATACACATCTTAATGCATTCAAAACTGCCTGCACCAACTCAGGGCATTCTACTAGAGCAGTAGATTGCATCCTAGAATGGGCTGTCCAAGTACCCTGAGAGCACATGCTTAAAGAAAGAAATAAAGCCCCCTCTGACTGCACACCAGTTGCTACCTACCATGCTATGCTGGAACCCATACGGGGTATCCTCAAACAACTATAACCCAGACTCGATGGGGACCACATCCTGAAAAGTCTTTCCTGAACCCCCACTTCTGACCTTCAAACAACCCCCCAGCCTCTCCAAGGGCAACATCAGAAGCAAGCTCCCCACAGACCAGGACAGACGACTCAAAGCAGCACCAGATCCTGCCAGAACAACAGCTGCAAAATCTGCGGACATATCTCCACTGCTACAATGATCAACACCCCCCACAACACACCTTTCAAGATCCTACACAAGCCTATCACAACCTGTGGGGTACCTCATCCCACGCACTAAATGCCCCAACAACAACTATGTGGGTGAAACCAGACAATCACACAGGAAAATGATACAAGACAAAACCACCTTGTCTCCTGCGGGGAACACTTCTCACAGGTCAGATACAGGGTAGTCCTCGTCCTCAAAGGGAGCCTACACAACACTTTCAAAAGACGAGCCTGGGAGCTTAAATTCATAACTCTGCTAGACAATAAAAATCATGGACTGAACAGACACTGGATTTATGGGTTATTACAACAATCTGTAACCCACAACCCCTCTTTTTGTCCTATGACCCCAGAAGTGTTAACGGGCCACCCCGCCTTGAATGGTCCCTTGAAATGTGTTAACTACTTATACTAAAGCAGCCATTCAACCTTGTATTTACCTGGGACACTCTGAGTAAGGGCACGTCTACACTGAAAACACTTCATCAGCACAGCTGCACCACTGTCTACACAGGAGGTTCAGTCGGTGTAACTAATGACGTCGCTCAGGGGTGTGGATTTTTCACACCCCTGAGCAACGTAGTTATTCTGACATAGGTCTGTAGTGTAGACCAGACCTAAGTTTCCAAGAGCTGAAGACAAGCTCTGTGTAAGCTTGAAAGCTTGTCTCTCTCACCAAGAGCAGTTGGTCCAATAGACGATATTCCCTCACCCACCTTGTTTCTCAAGTTGCATGTAAGACCTCACAGGCTTAGCCAATTAGAAACCTCCCCCCACACCCAATCTCAAAACAGTTTTTTAATATATGGGGCTTGACCCTGCATTCCTTGTGCAGACAAAACCCCCACAGAAATCAGTGGAATGCAGGATTAGGACCATTGTACGTACCACAGAATGTCCCCCAGTGTTGCCCACTGCTCTGCCCTTTTCACCACCTGCCCCAGCTCTCTGGGACAAGGCCAGGGTCCTGAGCGCCCCCAGAAGGGTTTTGTGGAACAGAGAAGGAAATGCTGGTATTTACCATCGATGGTCACTTGGGTTCCATTCCCAGGAGATATCCCATTTTTGTTCCCAACCCCACACACGTAGGTTCCAGAATCTGTGACGTCGGCTTTCTTCACAGTGAGGGAAAGAGATCGCTTTTCTTTATCTGCTGATAATATGATTCGATCTGTTCCATTGCACACCTCTTCTGTTACATTGTTTCTGGTTTTATTCCATGCAGCAAACCACTTGATTGAATTATTGTCTGTGTTGAATGTACACTCGATGGTGAACTCTGACCCTTCCATTGCACGGATACAAGGGGGCTTCTGATTCACCACTAAGACAACAGTAGTATTTTCTGCAGCTCCTGAAACACAAAGTTCAGTGTCACTATTTGAAATTATTGCAACAGGAGGAAGAATTAAATCAAACAAAATTGTTTGGAAATGATCCACTGCAAAATGTTTCCATTTCTCTATAAGGAAACCAAGTGCACGAGCATGAACTCTCTACTGAAGGCCATGGCATGTAGTTCAGAGTGGGAAGGGCTCAGACTGGGCAGTTTGCACAGGCCTGCCCTACTGGCACTGTTAGCCGGCCTGCCCCACTGGCTACAGCCTGCCATACGGGCTCCATGGGGCCATCGAGAGAGCACTGGGCGGCTCCTAGGGATCTAGAGAGAAGCCCAGATGCAGAGAATTGGGCCTGCAGGCCCCAAGGTGGAATGTCTGCTCCAGGGAGGCAAATCTTAACAACAATGGGTCAAACAAAGACTTGGGGAGGACGGTTCAAAGAAGGGAGATAGAGATGGGAGACAGGAGACAAAAGGAAGGTGGAGGGGGGAGAAGACTGAGGGAAAGAGAGAGCTGGGAGTGGAGAAGAGCGGATGGGAGAGAAAAAAGAGAATGTGTGCAAAGTAGGGGAGAGGGATAGAAAGATGGAGGGGGCCTAAGGAAAGGGGAAGGAAAATAGACAAAGAGAAAGGAAATGAGGTGAGGAAGGACGTATGAGATGGAAGGAAAGGACAATTAACATTATTATTTATTCCCATTGCACCTCGAGTCCTCAACCACCAGTAGAGCCCCACTGTTTTAGGCCCTGTGTGTACGTACTGTAAGAGACCATCCCTGCCCTGAGGAGCTCACTGTCTAAACAAAGAGTGGGAGAAGAAAGACACAAGGGGGGAGTCTACATTTCCCCTATACACCGGGGCACCGCCAGCCTGTTCCTGGTGTGGGGGCTGTGGATGACCAGACAGAAAATTGGGGGGCTGTGATCCCCTTTGCCACAAGGCCCCACCCCTTTCAATGGCCCTGCCTCCTGGCCAGGTCAGAGGCAGGAATCGGCCAGTGCAGGGTGCTGGCTGTTCACAGTCAGTAAGAGCTGCCGAGGTGGGGGGGGATCTGATGCTAGGGCCAGCAGAGTCCTTGGGAAGCAGCAACTGCGGGCCAGGGCCCAGGAGCCTGGGCTGGAGCAGGTCAGTCTGGTCTGCTGAGGGGAGCCCTGAACCCTCCGTCTGCCCTGGGCAGTACATCCCGGTGAGCGAGGGCAACCAAAACCACACTGTTTTTGACAAAATATAAAACAGATTTATTAACTACAGAAAGGTAGATTTTCAGTGATTATAAGTAGGAGGCATAGAGATCAGAGTTGGGCCTTGCCTACACTGGCAAATTTCTGCGCAGTAAAGCAGCGTTCTGTGCTGTAACTCCCGAGGGGCACACACGGCCACGCCACTTCGTGCGCAGAAACGGCGCACTTGCAGCGCTGTAACCCCCCCCCCCCCGATGAGGGACGTACAGCTTTCTGCGCTGTGTCTGTCTTTCTGGCGTGTCTCGTGTAGACACCGTGGTGAGTACAGCACTGATTGGCCTCTGGGAGGTGTCCCACAATGCCTGTTCTCGCCTCTCTGGACATCGGTTTGAACTCCCTGCCCTGCCCTCAGGTGACCAACCATCATCCCCACATTGTAAATTCCTTTGGCATTTTGAAAGTCCCCTTCCTATTTGCTCGGTGACGCATGCAGTGGCCTCAGTGCATCTTTCCAGGTGGCCAGGCCTGCTCCACGCACCAGGCGATCCCCGGCTTGGAGCAATGCCGAGCTGCTGGACCTCATCAGTATTTGGGGAGAGGAGGCTGTCCAGTCCCAGCTGCGCTCCCGCCGTAGGAATTATGATACCTACAGACACATTTCTTGATGCGTGATAGAAAGGGGCCATGACCGGCACGCATTGCAGCGTAGGGTCAAAGTGAAGGAGCTGCGGAGCACCTGCCACAAGGCGCGGGAGGCAAACCGCCACTCAGGTGCTGTGCCCACGAGCTGCCCATTCTACAAAGAGCTGGACGCGATACTCGGCGGCGACCCCACCTCCACTGCAAAGGCCACTGTGGATACTTCGTTGGCTCCTGTGCCAGTCGAGAGTGGACCGAGCCAGGAGGAGGAAATCTTGGACTTGGCTGTGGAGGGGAAGGGGGACCCAGAGGCAGAGGACAACTCGGAGGTCAGAGATGCATGCAGCCAGGAGCTCTTCTCTACCCCAGAGGAGCCGAGCCAGTCACAGCTGTCAGAGACTGGCAACATGCAAACAGGAGAGGAGGCCCCTGGTAAGTGGATCTGATTTTGAGAATCACTGAAGTGAGTTATTGGGGGTAGGAGGGTTGCAGGAAGCAGGCTTGTTTCCCAGCGCATGCCTCGTCTGAGCAGCGGAACAGGGTGTTGATTGACTCCCTCACTTCACGGGAATCTCCCTCCAAGATCTCCAGGAAACTCTCATGGAGATACTGGGCAATCTGCTGCCGCAGGTTCCTTGGCAGAGCTGTTTTGTTTCTTGCCCCATTAACGTTAACTTTCCCGCACCACTGTGCTGTCACGGGGCTGGGTGGGGGGGGACCACTGCTGCACACCGGTGAGCCACACAGGGGCCAGGGTGGAAGCCGCAGTCTTGGAGAAGACCCTCCCTGGATTCCCTGCTCCCCCTCAGCAGCGAGAGATCTTCCATAATGAACACAGCCTGTGGAAAGTGTGGGGACAAGAATGATTATCAGGCCCCCCCTACAGTGCTGGCTCGCCCCAAGAGCCACGTGCCCAGTGTACAGCAGCGTCCTGGAACACTGATTTCCCCCGCCCTTGTGGCTACTCACCATGTTAGAGGTCTTGTGGCTCTTGTGTGCTTGCCTGGGGTCAGCCAGGTAGCGACAGGTGTCTGAGGACTGGCTGTGTTTTAAATCACTGAATCCATGGTCTGTGTGTTGCTAAGAATACTGCTTCTGTAAAATGTTGTGTATAAACTTCACAGAGATGACCTTGGGTGCCCAGCGTCCCTGTTTGTTATCGGCGGCAGAACGGCTGCACAGAATTAGAAAGTGGCCAAGAAGAACTAAGGAGGACTTTCTGCCGCCAGGAAACAGGAATTGAAGGAGTGGCGGGACAGTGAGAAGAGGGACCAAAAGGAGAACGCGGCGCGCCAGAACGAAGCCACGGAGCGGCTCTTAAACGTTATGGAGCGCCACGTGGACACGCTCCAGGCGCTATGAGCACTGCAAACTGAGCAGCTCCACGCCCACGCTCCCCTGCAGCTGCTGTCGCAAAGCTCTTTCCCATGCGCCCCCCCCAGACACCGCCAACACACTCTTATCAACCTCCTGGCTCCAGTCTCTACCCCCAGCCGTCCACTCCTCCCCCCTCACAGTCCAGCACTGTGGACTCCCCCTGCACTCAACACCCATCCCTCAGACAGTGCAAGCTCATTAATTAGTTTGCCACTCCTACAAAGGGTAGTAGATATGTAACAGCCCTTGTTAATCTGAGCTGAGATTCCCCCAACATTTCACCCCAAACCACACTGATTTAGATAAAATATAAAACAGATTTATTAACTACAGAAAGACAGGTTTTTAAGTGATTAGATCAGAGTAGGTTACATAAGAAATAAAAAAAATTAATCTGCAGTCTAAATTCTACAGAATAAGCAAGATTGAATCAAGCAGTTTCTCACTCTAGTAGATGTTACAGGCAGCTCACAGTTCTTAATACACAGGCTGAATTGCCTTTCAGCTGGGGACCAGTCTCCCCAGTTCAAAGTCTTGGTCTTCCAAATGATCTTCCAGGTGTTGAGATGCAGGAGGAGAGAGGCCCCGTGGTGAAGTCATCAACCCTCACTTATACTTTCTCTCCAAGTGCTAGAACGATGCTTGCTGTGACGTGGGGTTAGGCAGTTCCCATTGCGTATGTGCCCTCCCTGAGGAGTCTCTCGGAGGGCCACTGGGAGAGTGGATTCTCCTTCCTGGGCCATCAACCCCACTCTGGCCAGTGTTCGTTGCTCCCAACCTCACTACATATTTTAGTAACGCGCACATGGCAAAAGTTGGTGACTTCAGATACAATGATAGTGCCTACAATTCATCAGGGTATTAATGTTCAACCGATCAAGATTTCTTAAATGATACCTCACAAAGCATGCATTGTACAAAACATCGAATCGTGTCACCATGGTGAATATGGGAGTTCCAGGGTGCTATTTTGAGATACAGAGTGAACATGAAGAAATTGAGCTCACGAAAGTTTATGCTCAAATAAATTTGTTAGTCTCAAAGGTGCCACAAGTCCTCCTGTTCGTTTTGCGAATACAGACTAACATGGCTGCTACTCTGAAACAGTAGAACATGGGGGTTTGGCCAGATCGGGCCCTCTGCGCTATTTCCAAAGGTGTGCCTCGCTGGCTGCACTGGTATTTATAGCCGTGCTACCTGGGCGTGTAATGTCTGTCCGCGCCACACTGCCGTGAGGGTAGATGTGCCCTGCGTGAGAGGAAGAACACCATGTCCAGAAATACCAGATTAGCGATGATGCTTGAATCCCTAAGTAATGTGCAAAATAGCTCTTTCTATCGCTAGAGCAGTCACGTTTGCACGCATGCAGCCTGAGACAGGACTGCCACGAGCAGAGGGCAGTGGCTTGGCCCAGGCCAGGAATGAGTGGGTGAGGAATGAAGAGACAGAAGCAAAGAAAGTCGAGGAATGACCTATTTTTGAGGTTGTGATGATGATGACTTATGCGTCTTCTAGTGACACCCAGAGGATTCGGGCCACATATTGCCAGGCCCTGTACAAGCAAACAGAAGAGACAGTTTGCCAAATCTAAAACCGGTCTGGAAATTTCCCCCCTCAATTTCCTAGGCCTCAATTAGCCCAAATATTTAGGGAAATACAATCAACTGTAAAACGTTAAGCTGTTCAGGGCAGAGTTGGACAGTAGCCGTATCAGTAAACTAACGCATACACACCATAGAGACAAGTTCCACGCTTAGGAAGGAAAAATCAAATGCACAACTGCAAAATGTGAAAAGGATCTGGGGGTTACAGTGGATCACAAATTAAATATGAGTCACCAATGTGGCACAGTTGCAAAAAAGGCTCAGATCAGTCTGGGCTGTATTAACAGCAGTGATGTGTGTAAGCCACAGGAGCAATTGTCCCGCTCTGCTCAGCACTGGTGAGGCCCCAGCTGAACTTCTGTGTTCAGTTCTGGGCAGTGGGCACCACACTTGAGGAAGGATGTGGACAAAGTGGACAGAGTCCAGAGGAGAGCAACAAAAATGATAGAAGGTTTCGAAAACCTGACCCAGGAGGAAAGGTTGAAAAAACTGGGTATTTTTAGTCTTGAGAAAAGAAGACTGTTTTCAGGCCCACTTCCAGTCTTCAAATATTAAGAACTGTTTTAAAGAGAACTGAGATCAATTGCTCTCCGTGGGCACTGCAGGTAGGACAAGGCCTAGTGGGCTTAATCCTCAGCAAGGGAGATTTAGGGTAGATACTTGGGAAAACTTTCTAACTATCCGGGTAGTTAAGCTCTGGACTAGGCTTCCAAGGGAGGTTTTAGAATCCCTGTGCCTGGAGGTTTTTAAGAATTGGTTAGACAAACACTTATCAAGGATGGTCGAGGTTTACTTGGCCCTGAGTCAGCATAGGGAGCTGGACTTGATGAATTCTCAAGGTCCCCTCCAGCCCTATGCTTTTATGATTCTCTACCAGTACCTTCCGACTCCTTTCCCCCAAGTGCAAGCTCTGTGGGTGGAAGGAGCAATGCAGCCAGGCCATGCCGCCCTCGTTTCCCATCCAGGGGAGTTTTGGAATGGGAGGAAATCTTATTGAATGCAGACTGCATAAAATGACGTAAGTTCACAACCCAGATAGTTTCCCTCAGAAAAGGAAAGTTCAGACACCACTTGTGCCATGATACCAGATACTTCACAAGGCAGAAATACGCAGATAAGCTAAGCACCGTTTTGCAGTATAAAAATCACTCATTCCATAGTAATTAACCTTTGAATTGCTTAGTGTCTTAAAACAGAATTGGCAGCTAAAAAGACATTATGTGCTCTGCAATTTTAGATGATATTCAGATGTCTTTATAGTATTTATTGTATGAGTTAGATGGTTCCTGCACAACAAAACTATACCAAAAATCCAATTCCCACCTTTCCAGCTGCTTGGATTTACAGAGACACAATCAACTTGAAACCTAGTCAATGGACAAACAAATAAAGTGTGAGTATTTTTAGGCACTACCCATGCCTCTGCGTCTCCCCTAACAGTTTTTGTGGTTATAGTCAAATGAGCTTGTTTTTTTCCAAGTGAAAGACCCATGCAAATTGCAAGTGTAGCTGGCTAAAGCCATGATCCTGAATCACTGCCACACAAGCAGACCCTTGTGCCTGCGCGGATCTGATTGATCTAAACAACTAAGCAAGGGAAACCGTGAAACTGACTGTACAAAAGTTGTTGTTAAATGCATCAAGAAAACCAATTTTCAAAAATATATAGTCATATTTATCTCAAATCTCTTTCATTTATGTTGCTGGTACAGACTAAAATAAGTTCAAAAGTTTTCAAAAAGATGTGTGATTCCACACACCCCCCCCCCTTTTTTTAAGTTGATGGCAAACTAACTAGGATAAAAAGAAGTTGGGAACATTGGGGCGGCTCAAGCGTCTAATCCTGCACTCTTTGAAATGGCCAAACCAAAAATCCAAAGAGAAAACCCTCCAAATCCAAAGACAATCAGAAATCTGTATGTCATTGGCTCACACCATTCACTCTGCCAGTTCCCATGTGCTTCGGGTATCACCCACTTACAGAGCTTCTATGAGTACCCTGGGAGAAAGGGTTTTATTGGGTTTCTTTCTTTCAGAAGCTTTTACTTTGCAAGCAATGGAGACTCCTGACTCTGACACCACAATGAAAACACATCATTCAAAGGGGAAACTCACCCATACGCAGACAAAGGTGGAAGAGCAAAGGCAGAAAGATGTTTGCCAGCTGGAGGCTCATGTTGGCTTGTACAATGTAGTCTTTCCTTGACATAGACTCTGCAGCCGCCACTGTACAACAGGGCCTTCTATGAGCCACTTGCTGAGTCTGAGGTTTCCTGTCTCTCTCTCTCTCTCTCTACCAGAATATTCACTTCTTGAGCCTGGGAAGTCAGCGAATGCTCACGTGCACTCTCTCTCTTGCCACTATTCTGGAGATTGCTCTGTCTCTCCGCTCCCCCCTTTTCTCGCAGTTAGTTCCCCTTTCTACTCACATGCTTCCTCTTGTACTGGTTCCTTGCCATCACATATGATTTCGTACGTTAGTTCTATTTGTCGCTAGGTTCTGTATGCAGTTTCATGCTTGGTCAAAGAGAGAGCCAAAAAATTGTCCAAGAGGACTTTATTTTCAGCGGTGGCTTTCACAGGTCACTGTAATGTCTCCTAGAAACCTGCACCCAGCGATTCTAGTGACGTCTAGTGCCCCCACTCACTGTGACGTCAGGAGTATCTGGAGTGACAAGTCAAAGGGAGATGTTGAGAAACAAGTGTGGATCTAGTAGTGAGGGCCAGGGCTGCCCAGAGCAGGGGGCAAGTGGGGCACTTTGCCCCAGGCCCCCGGGCCCCGCAGAGTACTAGAGTATTGCGACTGTTTTTTATGGAAGGGGCCCTCGAAATTGCTTTGCCCCAGGCCCCCCGAATCCTCTGGACGGCACTGAGGGCAGCTTCCTGAGTGAGCCTGCTGCCTCTCGACACTTGGAAGGCCCACCCCGACATCTGTGCTCCTACTGGGGTCAGTGGCAAGACATTCAGCAGGTGCTGAATTTTTGTAGAAGACAAAACCGTGTGAGTCTGGGCTTTAGGGATTACGACACAGTCAGGCCGGACAGCTGCCGGAGGGGCTAGGGAACCAGCTATGTTAGCCCTAGAATGCTAAAGGCCCTTTTCCCTACAAGCTGGGAAGGGGTTACTTCAGGTCAATTAGGGACACCTGAGTCCAATTAAGGGCTGCCTGAAACCTGTTAAAATCTCTCCTGCAGGGGCAGTGGAGAGACAAACGGCTGCAAGGCTGATAGGGGGATAGGTTTCTCCAGTGTACAGCCTGCACCCCTCCCCTTAGGGGAGACACCCAAAACCCAGCGCCTGTTTAGGGGAAGGACTGGTGCTCTGGGGCCAGTGACAGGACAACACCTGCCCCAGTGAGGGGGCCAAGGCAAGGTATTCCCCTTTTGTTTCGGTGCATTATAAATTTTTTCCCCTTTGTTTGGCAGAGGAGCACTCTGCCTGCTGGGAAGGCTCTGAGAACCAAACCCCGAAGAGGGAAGACAGACACACTCCAGAGTGGGTGGCTGATTTCCCCCGGGCCCTGCCCTGCCAGAGGAGGGAGGGCTAAGTCTGGCAAGGCAGAAGGGGTGCCTTGCCACAGGGCGGAAATAACGTGATGAAAGAGTGGCAGAAAGAGCACTTCTGCAGCAGCGTTTTGACAGGATGGAGGAAGGATGGTGGCTGGGGAGCAAGAGGAGGAGAAGGTAGGAGCAAAGGGGAAGGTCCGTGACAAGGGATGCTCGGAAGAGGGGGTGGGCAATGTGTATTGAGAAGGAAGGATGGACTGTGAGGGTGTTTTTCAGGTCAGGTGAGTTAGAGATGGTGGCAGGACATCCAGGGAGAGGTGTCTTAGCGACAGGTTGAGATGCGAGCCAGTGCTGGGTTTACAGTGGCGCCATGGAGCCGGGTCCATGCTCAAAAGGGGCCCCGGCGTGCTCTGCTTGCCCTGTGCCCCGAGACCCCACTGGCTTCCCCCCGCCCACCACTTGCTCCTCTCAGCCTGCCCGCCGGCTGGCCAAGAGCTCCTCTCTGGTCCCCCACCCCTGCTCCTCTCTGCCCCCTGGCTGGACCCCAGTGCATCTCCGGCTCCGGGCAGTCTCTGCTTCCCACCACCTGTGGGCCCCCACCTGTGCCCCCGGAGCTGAGCCGACTGGGGCAGAAGCCTGGCCTGTCTCAGCCAGGCGTGTGTGTGGGGGGGGGAGGAGGGAGGGCTTGGCTGGGACCCTCCTGGCAAGTGCGTCTTGAGGGAGCCGGGCCAGGCAGGCCCTGGCCTGGCTAATCACGCCACTCCCAAGGGTCCGGAGCGATTCCCAGCCCTGGGACCAGCCCTGGCTGCACTGCCGGCTCAGCCCGGAAGACACAGTCGCCTCCCAGAGGGCCGGTGAGTGCGGCTGGGAGGCAGGGCTTGGGGGAGTGGGTCTGTAGGGAGTATGGGGGATTGCTGGGCTGTGAAGCTGTGGGGAGGATCTGTGTGTGTTGGGGCACTAGGGAGTGGGGGTTCTATGGGGGGTGCTGAGCAGTTGTCGTGGGGCTGTGGGAAGGGGTGGTGTTGTGCAGGGTCCTGTGCATTTGTGGGTGGGTCTGGAGGGGGGCTAGGCATAGTGGGTCCAAGGGGCCTCTGGCCATAGGGAGTCAGGGGGGCGGGGGTGTTGGGCGGGGCGGGCTGTGTGGTGCGGCATAGGCCTGCCCCTGAGGGGAAGGGGTTTGTTGCCAGCACAGGAGCAGCTGCTGATGGAAGGGGAGAGAGGCGAAACCGGAAAGCACGGAGGAGCTGAGGATGAAGGAATGACCAACAATAGCAAAGGGCACCGATCGAGCAAGGACCATGACAGAGAAAGGCTTTTAGATTTGGCCAAGAGAGGCTCATTGGACTCTCGGGAGCAGTTTGGGTGAGCAGAAAGGGTTGAGCCAGACTGCAGCTGATGCAGGAGAAGATATCAAAGCAGAGGGTGTGAGCTGCATGGTGAGGGAGTGGGTAAAAGGAGAGGGAGGCAATGGGCCAGTCCTTGGAGAGGGGAAAGGGGTCAAGAGAGGGTTTTATGAGGGAACCAGTGGCTGTTATAAGGGGGATGGAAAGTTTTGGTATAGGCATATCATCAAGAGGATGAGGGAGGGCACGAGAGAAGAAGATAGTGAAGTCAACGAGGCGGGGATAGGGACAATGGGACAGGAAGAGGAGTCGGAAGAAGAGGGACATCTCCAGGTTAAAAATGAGCATGGTGGAATGGGAGGAAACTGAGGCAAGTTTGGGGGGATTGTAGAGAGGAGAAGGAAAGTCTCACCAGAGACCCTCCATTTTCTCTTTGGGGAAGCTAGTGAGACCATGGGCAGAGAGGGCAGGGCGCAAACGATGTGAAGAAAGAATCTCAAACTGAACTAGAGCCTCCTGGATTTAAAAGAGGGGACTGCTGTCGGGGTGCTGTCCGTGCCCGGGCCAGGACCTGGGAACTCCCTCCCTGCTCCCTTGGCACAAAATAAGCCAGATCTATTGACCTTCAGGGCATTTTCCAAAGCCCCTCACTTTCCCCGGGCATCTGGGGAAGGAGGGGAAGCTGAGGGTAGGGGTATATGTGTGTTGTGCAGAGTCTATCCCGTCTCTGGTTTGGTCTGGCTGTTTAAGTAGGACTGTTTAGCGTCTGTCAAAGGCTCCGAAGGGCCCTCAGGAAGGGGGTGTCCTATTTTTTCTAGAAATCTAGCTGAACACAAAGACAGACGTGATCACATTTTGAACACCTGCAATCTGCTGTGGGCAGTGTCTGGTGCATGGAGCTGGGAAAAGCATGACCACTTTCTATGAAAGCTTATGCTCTAATAAATTGGTTAGTCTCTAAGGTGCCACAAGTACTCCTTTTCTTTTTTCTATCTTCAGTCTCACCAGTGGAGATTTCTCATTTTCTAGAAATCCTATGGCACACACAGAAGGAAGTAAGAGAGAAGAAGTGAGACTGGGTGGAGACAGATGGGCCAGCAACCTGGGAGAGGATGTTGCCTGGCATAAGTGTTGATGAGCTAGACCGAGGGAGCGAAATGTGAAAGAAGAGCCCAGAGAAGCCTGATCACAGCCATAGAGAGAAGTGATGGTTGGAGTGAACGTAGAAGGGCAAACTGGGGCAGGCTGGCCAGGAAAGGGCTAGAAGCAACAGGAACAGAGAATGGGAGCTTGAGACCGTGGTTCTGGGTGGGTGAGAGAGGAGGGAGCAGCTGTAGAGGCTGAGTGAGATGGGGAGTGTGGGGAAGAAAGGGCAGGGAGCAGGAAACACGGAGAAGTGGAAGTGGAGTGAGGTGGAGCGGGGTTGCTGGGAGACAGCGGGAGGTAAGGGGGAAAGCATGCGGTAGGCATAAGCTTTCTAATGGACAGGCTTACGGGGGAGCTCAGACAAGCCCAGAGCAGAGAGGGGGGAATGGGGGTATGTGTGGGGGGCGAGTGTCGTCAGAAGACAGAAGTTGAGGGTGGATGAAAATCTGCAAGACCAAGAGGATGCATCAGCAGGTGGATGCTGAGGTGGGGCATGGAGAGCAATGGCAGGGCTCATGGGTGCAGGGTGGGAAGCCAGGACAGCAAGATGGAGGGTGATGGTGGGGAGAGACAGAAGTGACTTTGGGTCAGAGAGCGCCACAAATCCTCCATGGCGTGATGCCTTAACGCAGCATTGGGCTGCCTTTTTCAGGCTGTCATATCAATGTCCAAGGCGACGTGATGGCACAACATGACCATCCCAGTGCTTGGCCAGCAAGTCACACTGTGAGTCTTGGCCTCCCTGCATCTCTATTCGATGGCAGCATGGCTCTCTCCAGCCTGTCAAGCTAGGGCCTAATGAGGCTGGGCACTGGGGTCCCAGTCATCAAGAAGGAGAGGCCCAGGTGTGGGGGCATGTGGTTCTGGTCATAAACCCTGCTTCCCTAAGAGGAGACTCGTGCCTGCATGTTTGCCCTCCAGTCAGTGAGCCTGAGGCCCACTAGCCCATGTTGTGGGGAAGTTCTTGCCTAGCCCGGCCTGAGTTTGCGCATGCCCTCTCTCTCTCTCTTGCCTATTTTTACATTTCCTGCAGTCTGCCACAGGAGCTAGATGCAAATCAACCTTTGTGCAAATTCACCACTCAAGAAATTCAGTCCATGTTTCCTTCCTCATCTAGGAAGAGCTAAGGGAAGTGAGCGCCTTCTGCTCCATGCATGGCTCTAAATTTCCTCTCTGCACACCCTTGCTGAAAAGGCCTTTATTTACGTGCCTGAATATGGACACTGGAGGCTCCCAGGTATGAAAATGTTGGCCAGTCTTTCCTTGCTTTTTAAGAGCATGGGGTTACAATGCAGGCTTTTGGGGCCTGATTTCCAATTATTCCCACCATTCATATTCAC